GTTATTTGTTCTTTGTACGTCTTCATGGGTAATATGCAATGGAAGCCCATGAAGGTCAATATTATTCTTAGAATGTGATATAAAAGAAAATTTTCATTATCTTGAAGCATTCTATAAATACCGTGTTAGTGTTACATGCACTAGCTTGTCAGTTTTCGTTATACTGTAACAGCAGACTTAAATTGTGCAGCAAACAGAAGCCTCTGTAATTTGGTAAAGTAATTAGTACAGTACTGCTTTAACGAAAGCAGGAAAACAGTATTACAGGTAAACTGTCAGTTGAAATTTACTAAATTATCAGTATTAGCGACGCTACACTATTACCGTTTCCATCTAATCATTACTTGAAACATATTTTTATTTTCCTCTAAAAAAGCGACATTTTAAATATTTTTGAAACTACGCTATTCCTGACAAGAACACGTATGAATATTCTTATTACGTAAAGCCGTTTTTGTGATAGACCTGATTAATGAATATGTGTAAAAGTTGAGTCGCTGATTTTCGATATCTCGTTAGGAATAATTCAGGATGAAAAGCGGTAGATATAGAAAAAAGGATAACAATAAAGAAAGGTCCCTAAATAAAGGATAATGATAAAGTTACCGACGACAGAGAAGACTAGAAGAAAGTAAGAGAGTTAGTGGACGCAATAGAAGTCAATAATGAAAAAAGAAAAAATGGAAGTACGTGTCTTTACACTGATGATGACCTTATTATAATGTAATGATGATGACTGAGTCCGAAACGTCTCTCGACATCACTTTCTCTTTCCCTATTGATTACACACATTCTTTCTTTCACATTAAAGTTATTTTTACCTGTTATTTGAACACTCAACTCAAATTCATAGAAAATTATAATTTATGTTAAAAGTTATGGACATTTATACAGCATTACAATATTACTAATTAATTATTTCAAGTAATATCTTGTGGTTTGTTCGAGGATAAGTTTGAGTTTCACATAAAACAGTTACTTTCGTGAAAAAACTTTTCTAATTGCCTCGGTAGTTACATTTCTAG